AAAACAGGTTCTAAGTGAAACAACTTTGGATACACTGCATACTATTATGAAGTTATAATGTACATCAGTAAATCAAAGATTCTATGATGTCATACACCAAAAGAAATCTAGCTGTTTTAGCCCTATTTTTCTCAAAGTTATTTGACTTTGTGTGACATTATTTTCCTATATATGCCTACTAGCATTCCATATAAATCATGTTCTTCTGGACATCTGAAAAAAATAAATTGTAAGAACATTAATGTAATAATATGTAGTACTTTTATTGTTGCAAATATCTTAATCCTTCTGACATGTGGAGATAGACACTGTTGTTAAAAGCATCTAAGATCTATTAAATAGAATAAATGATGCTAGCTGTTGTAACAAACAACTTCCAAATCTCAGTGGCTTAACACAATGAAGACTTCTTTTCACATCGTAGTCCAATGAGGGTTGGAGACAGGAAACACATGCAGAGGAGGAAGAGGAAATGTTTCCCCTCCACCCATCTTAGTTTCATTGGCTGGGACCCTGCAAATTAGACTGAAAAAAGACAGATTAATGGGAGAGAAATAAACAGAAGTTTATTAATATGTGTGTGCATGCTGCATATAGACTCAGTGATGAGTAACTAAAGCGTGGTTAGAACTTGGTTATATAGCATCTTAGCAAAAGAACAATAATTTTGTAAAGAGACAACATAAAGGAAAAGGAGTTTGAGCTTCTAAGGGTGCCAAAATGCAGGAAGGCAAATATCTGGGGAAGCTCATGTTAGATAAGGTCTAGATCATAAGGTTTGTTTGTGTAGACTCTTTTTCTCTTTTATTTTTAAAAATTTACATCCAAGTTAGCATATAGTGCAATAATGATTTCAGGAGTAGAATTTAGTAATTCATCCCCTGTATATAGCACCCAGTGCTCATCCCCACAAGTGTCCTCCTTACTGTCCCTTGCCCATTTAGCCCATTCCCCACCCAAAACCCTCTAGCAACCCTCCATTTGTTCCCTGTATTTAAGAGTCTCTTATGTTTTGTCCCTCTGTGTAGACTCTTTCTCAATGCCTGTTCATCTCTGCTGATAAGGTTCTTGCCCTTCTCCTGGTACAGAAGTTAGCGGCAGGAGGACACCTTTACAGGTGGAATTTATATTGTTTTCAAGTAGATAGAGGGAATCCAGAGAGCTTGTCCTGTGCCTGCCTTTTCTCACCTGCCTTCAGCTCAAAATAATCCTCATGCCAGAGTGGCATATTTTTTTTTTAAGTTTATTCATTTTGAGAGAGAGAGCACAAGTGAAGGATGGGCAGAGAGAGAAAGAGAGAGAGAGAGAGAGAGAGAGAGAGAATCCCAAGCAGGCTCCGCACCATCAGCACAGAGACTGACATGGGGCTCGATCCCATGAACCATGAAATTATGACCTAAGCCTAGATCAGGAGTCAGACGCTTAACTGACTGAGCCACCCAGGTGCCCCCAGAGTGGCATATCTTTGAGTGGTATATTCTGCTACCTTTCCCACCTCTGCATAGTTTCACTGAGGAGTGATTTGGGTTCCTTTTTTCTGGAGTTCTAGGCACTGGAGCCATGAAATCCTCCAGTAGATCTTTTGTATTCAGTCGGCAGATAAGGAAAGCGAGTATAGAAGGTTACATGAGAGGTTGCAGGGGTCATGCCTAGAAGTGATATACATATTTCATATACACATTTCATTCATATCTCATTAGCCAGAACTCAATCATATGGCCCCATATAACTGCAGGGGAGGCTGGGAAATGCCATCTTCCTGGGAGCCTAGAAGGAAAATGAAACAGTATTGGTGAGGTGAACGTATGCCATTATCTCTGCCATGTTGGATTTTAAGTCATAGATTTGGGTATGGATCTTTGATGTGTCAGTCTCTAATTGAGTCCATGATTCACACAGCATGTACATGCACATGTGACTTCACTTTATTTCTTTCATGCATCCCAGTAAAAATAGGGAGGATGGCTCTCACATAATACATTAGAGGCATTTGGTATGCAAGGAGTTATGGAGTTTGAACAGAAGGTCTGAGGAAAACTAAATGATTACACCATTGGAAAATAGTGGAATGAACCCCTAGTCCCATAGCTTGTTTTTCACTATAATCTGTATCTAATATATTCTGGGCCCTTTCCCTGATCCTTTCAACCACAGATAACTACAGGCTTTAGGGATAATCTGCTCAGAGCTCTTCCATGTCATTCTCCACACCAAGAAGCATTATCAGTTTTCCTTCTGCTCCCAGAATGTCCTGTGATGCATGAGTCTAAGAACTGGAGGAGTCTGGTGGTTCCATATGCAGAAGCTGTTTGTAAAATGAGTGACCGATCTTTACGAGTCCTGAGTAAGTTTGATTAATTTTTCACTTTATCTGTACTCTCAACAATCACTGAAGTAAAAGATGGAGCAAATTTTGGATAGAAGATTTAAAAATACACAACTGTTTGGGTATGTGGTATGTGAATGTTTGAAAATATTAACCTAACATTATTATAATCATTACTCTTATACAAAGCATGTGTAACTCTTAGACTTGGACATGGCTTTGACTTCAGAGTTTAATAACCATAGAGGATCCAGTCAAAATAAATCTATACTTGAAAACTTTTTGTTTATGTTTTAAAACTTGAGAAATTTTGGGGCAGCTGGATGGCTCAGTCAGTTAAGTGTCTGACTTTGGCTCAGGTCATGATCTCATGGTTCGCGAGTTTGAGCCCCATGTTGGGCTCTGTGCTGACAGCTCAGAGTCTGGAGCCCACTTTGGATTCTATGTCTCACTCTCTCTCTGCCCTTCCCCTGCTCATGCTATGTCTCTCAAAAAAACACAAACGTCAACTTTTTTTTTTTTTTTTTAATTTTTGAGAGACCGTCCACAGAACTTTAAGTGGCCGCCGTCCACGTTGTAATCTAAATAAACTGCAGGTCAGTGCAACATGGCAACCCTGACAGAGGATATACCAGTTTACATTTCATCAACAAATATGAGAGCATCAGCCCACACATTTTTCTACAGTATTATTAGACTTTGATATTTGCCATTCTGAAGAAAAAAGTCTCTTAATTTGAATTTTAGTTTTCTCATTATGAATGAGATTGTGCTGGTTTTCCTATATCTCAGTTCCATTTGTATATTATAGTCTGGAAACTGTCAGTTCTTCCCTCTTAACCCATTTTCCCATGTGTTGTTGTTAGTGTTTTTCTTTTTTATTTAGCTTTTATTTTAGTTTTTACTTTATTTTTTTAATGTTTATTTTTGAGAGAGAGAAAGAGAGTTGTGAGCAGGGGAGGGACAGAGAGAGAGAGGGACAGAGTATCTGAAGTGGGCTCTGTGCTGACAGCAGCGAGTCCAATGTGGGACTTTAATCCACTAACTGTGAGATCACGACATTGGCCGAAGTCAGATGTTCAACTGACTGAGCCAGCCAGGCACCCCTATTTTATTTTATTTTTTAAAGTTTAGCAGGCTCTGTGCTGTCAGCATGGAGCCCGGCATGGAGCTTGATCCCACAACTGTGACATCATGACCTGAGCTGAAATCAAGCTTAACTGATTAGGCCGAGGCTCCCCTATTTAGAAGCTTTTAAATGATTAAGGCAACTAATTCTTTATCAATAATATGAATTACAAGTCTTTTTTCTCTGAGTTATTAATTTTTTTTATTTTGTGGAATTTTCACATGCATAATTATTTGAAAACATTTTAATGAAGCCTACTATGTAAACATTTTCTTATATGGTTGCTGAGTTTGGATCATATTTCAAAAAGCCTACTCCCGCTGAAATTAAAAAAAAAAATTTCCCATACTCCTACTAGAATTTTTTTTTTTTCATTTATTTCTTTTTTTTCAACGTTTATTTATTTTTGGGACAGAGAGACAGAGCATGAACGGGGGAGGGGCAGAGAGAGGGAGACACAGAATCGGAAACAGGCTCCACGCTCTGAGCCATCAGCCCAGAGCCTGACGCGGGGCTCGAACTAACGGACCGCGAGATCATGACCTGGCTGAAGTCGGACGCTTAACCGACTGTGCCATCCAGGCTCCCCTAGAATTTTTTTTTTTAAAGTAGGCTCCATGCCCAGTGTGGGGCTTGAACTCATGACCCTGAGTTCAAGAGTCACATACTCTACTGACTGAGTCAGCCAGGTGCCCCACTTCTATTAGAATTTTTATTGGTTCATTTTTATGTTTAACTTTTTGATCCATTCAGAGTTTATCTTGATTAAGCTTTATCTTTTTCTGGAAGAGTTTTCAGTTGTTCCCATACATTCACTGAATGATCTGTTTCATTCCCACTAATATGTAATGCCACATTTATCATATACTCAAGTGTCCTGTGTATTTGTGTCCATTTATGGAATCTCTACTATGTAAGTCTGCATTTCATACATCTGGGTCATATTATTTTAATTAAATTAGCTATTTTAATATTTGATAGGTTTGTTTTCTGAAAATTATGTTTTAAAGATACGAATATCTAGGTTGGAACAAAGTAATATTAAAATATTGTTATTGAGTTAATTTAAAAAATATATCCATATATACCAGGTGTTCATAAAGTCTGAAAAGATATTTTATTTTCCTCAAATCAAAAATGTCTTTGATGACATTATATGTGTGCATGTGTGTGTATTATTATGTAAGTTTTCAGATTTAATAGATACTCTATGGAATTTTTTTTAAATTTTTTTATTTTTTTAATTTTTTTTAACGTTTTATTTATTTTTGAGACAGAGAGAGACAGAGCATGAACGGGGGAGGGGTAGAGAGAGAGGGAGACACAGAATCGGAAGCAGGCTCCAGGCTCTGAGCCATCAGCCCAGAGCCCGACGCGGGGCTCGAACTCACGGACCCTGAGATCATGACCTGAGCCGAAGTCGGCTGCTTAACCGACTGAGCCACCCAGGTGCCCCGATACTCTATGGAATTTTGTTTGAAAATCATGAAATCAATCACGTAGTCAAGTATTAATATGAGCTATCAACAAATTTCTTCAGAATCCTACATTTGAACTTTCAATTCCAATGATATTTGATGAGGGAAAAACATTTTTTTCACATCTGTGAGTAATAAATGTCCAGGATGGTACCCTGAGACAAGATATTTTATGGGTTTTGCCATCAGAAATGGAAACTGTTATCTATTTCATACATTAAAGAACCTGGAAGAAACTGAGGATTTTTTTGGAGGGTGCATATTTATCATGGCTGATTTTATACCCCCCAGAGAAGTGCTGGGGATCTTTGCAAGAATCTTCTCTCAATACACTGGTCCAGATGCTCAAAACTGCCATCGTCTCTCAGCTGCGTTCCTGGCCTAAAATTGAAACCAATGAGAATCACTGCAATCTTAAAGCTCTTCTAGGAATGGTGAAAGAAGTGCATAAGGTAAGGGTTCATCTGAATACATATATATATGATTTTACTCAATTAAAATCTTTTAGGTCTCGGCCAATTGGAGTCTTATTTTATTTGTAAAACAAAATATTTTATTCAGTTCTTAGTAATTCAGAATTTTGCTTGTTTTGCTAATGGCTAGACTCTAGTCATATATATTACATATATGTTACATATTTTATATACAGGTTATACATAATATATATCACATATATCATATGCACAAATACTCAAAAATGAGAATGATGATTATTTTCAGTACAGTACACAACATAATCCAGAAGTAATTTAAAATTAGCCTACTAATAAACCTAATGATTGTGGGGGATAGGGAGGAGCCAGAGCATTTTAAGTAAAAGAGCAGAATTAAATTAGTATTGTTCAATTAAAAATAATTGGCTAAAGTAAGATGATTTTATAAATATAAATTGTTAAATGGCAATCAAAACCAATTTCACCATAAAATATCAATCTCAACAGGAGAAAACATTAGGTACAAAAATTAGTTCACTTCAGAAGTACTAATGCACTGGTATTTCTAAAGTAGTACATTTCTTTTTTTTACCTAGCTTTATTGAGACATAATTGACATATAACATTGTGTGAGTTCAAAGTGTGCAATATATTGCTTTGATACATCTATACTTATTCATTTTACAACTGGAAGTTTGAACCCTTTGACCAATATCTTCCCATTTCCCCCACTCCCTGACAACCACCATTCTACTTTCTGTTTCTGAGTTCAGCTTCATAGATAAGTGGTATCATACATATTTTTCTTTCTCTGAATTATTTGACTTAGGATAAAGCCCATCCCTGTTGTCACAAATGGCAGGATCTCCTTCTCTCTCATGGCTGAATTATATTCCAGTGTTTATATACATCTTCTTTATCTATTCATCCATCCAGGATGCTTAAGTTGTTTTCTTGTCTTGGCTTTTGTAAATAATGCTGCATTAAACATGGGGATGCAGACATCTCTTTGAGATAGTGATTTAATTTCCTTTGAAGTGAATATATTTATTCAGATGAATATATTTTTTAATATAGCAAGAAGTGGGATTGCTAGATCATATGGTAGTTCTGTTTTTAATTTTTTGAGGAACCTCCATACTGTTTCCCGTGGTGGCTGCACCAATCAACATTCCCACCTGCAGTGTACAAAGGTTCCCTTTTCTCTGTATCCATGCCAACACTTATCTTTTGTTTTTTTGATGACAGCCATTCTAACAAGTATGAGGTGATATTTCACTGTGTAGCTTTGAGCTGCATTTCCCTGATGATTATGGATGTTGACCATCTTTTCATGTACCCGTTGGCCATCTGTATGTCTTCTTTGGAAAAACATCTATTCAGTTCCTCTGCCCATTTTTAAAATTAGATTGTTTTGTTTGATCAGTGGCATGTGTTCTGTATATATTTTAGACATTAATTTCTTATGAAATATACAATTTGCAAGTATTTTCTCCCATTTCATAGGTTGCCTTTTTATTTTATTTATTTATTTTTTTAAATTTTTTTTTTTTCAACGTTTATTTATTTTTGGGACAGAGAGAGACAGAGCATGAACGGGGGAGGGGCAGAGAGAGAGGGAGACACAGAATCGGAAACAGGCTCCAGGCTCTGAGCCATCAGCCCAGAGCCTGACGCGGGGCTCGAACTCACGGACCGCGAGATCGTGACCTGGCTGAAGTCGGATGCTTAACCGACTGCGCCACCCAGGCGCCCCGGTTGCCTTTTTATTTTATTGTTGTTTCTTTTGCTGTGTAGAAACTTTGTAGTTTAGTTTTTGGTAGTCCCACTTACTTATTTTTGGTTTTGTTGCTTGTGCTTTTGTTGTCATATCCAAAAAAATCATTGCCAAGACCAATGTCAAGGAGCTTTCCCCTTAGGTTTTATTCTAGGAGTTTTATGGTCTTATGTTTAAGTCTTTAATCCATTTCAAGTAAATTTTTCTGAGTGGTATACGATAGGGGTCCAATTTCATTCTTCTGAATATGGTCATCCAGTTGCCCCAATATTTATTGAAAAGACTATCCTTTCCCCATTGAGTTTTCTTGGCTCCTTTGTCAAATGTTAGTTGACCATTTTTGTGAGGTTTTATTTCTGGTCTCTTGATTCTGTTCCATTGGTTTATGAGTCTATTTTTATGCCAGTACCATTACTATAGCTTTATAGTATAGTTGTAAATCTGGAGTTGTGAGGCCTCCAGTTTTGTTCTTCTTTCTCAGGACTGCTTTGACTATTCAATCTTTTGTGGTTTCATATAAATTTTAAGACTGTTTTTCTTAACTCTGTGAAAAATGCCTTTGGAATTTCGAGAGGGATTACATCTTATCTATAGATAACTTTAGGTGCTATAGACATTTTAACAATATTAATTCTTCTTTATTTTAAATTTATTATTTTGAGAGAGACAGAGAGGGCACAAGTTGGAGAGAGGCAGGGAGAGAGGGAGACAGACAATCCCAAGCAGCTTCCATACTGCCAGTGAGGAGCCCGATGTGGGGCTTGAACTCATGAAACTGTGAGATCGTGACTTGAGCTGAAACCCAAGCGTTGGACACTTAATTGACTGAGTCACCCAGGTGCCCCGATATTAATTCTTCTAATCCGAAAAGAAAGGCTATATTTCCATTTATTTGTGTTTTCTTCAATTTCTTTCATCAAAGTCTTACAGTTTTTGGTGTACAGGTCTTTCACCTCCTTGATTAAATTTATTTGTAAGCAATTTCATTGTTTTTGATGCTATGGTGAATTACTAATTTGAGTCTTAAGAAGATAAATAAGAATCATGAGGAGTCAGGTATTTTTTCATTTACATTTTACTTTTTTTTAATTTATTTTTATTAAAAATTTTTTTTAATGTTTATATGTTTTTGAGAGAGAGAACATGAGCATGAGTTGGGGAGGGGCGGAGAGAGAGGGAGAGAGAAATCTAAGCAGGCTCTGCACTGTCAGCACAAAGCCCAATGTGGGGCTTGAACCCACAAACCATGAGATCATGACCAGAGCTGAAGTTGGACGCTTAACCAACTGAACCACTCAGGTGACCCATACATATATTTTTAAAGTAATGCATATAAGGAAAATGTTTGGCAGAAAATAATTGGGAATTTTTTTTTAATTTTATTTTTTATTTTTTTAAATTTACATCCAAATTAGTTAGCATATAGTGAAACAATGATTTCAGGGTAGATTCCTTAATACCCCTTACCCATTTAGCCTATCCCCCCTCCCACAACCCCTCCAGTAACCCTCAGTTTGTTCTCCATATTTATGTCTCTTCTGTTTTGTCCCCCTCCCTGTTTTTATATTATTTTTGTTTCCCTTCCCTTATGTTCATCTGTTTTGTCTCTTAAAGTCTTCATATGAGTGAAGTCATATGATTTTTGTCTTTCTCTGACTAATTTCACTTAGCATAATACCCTCCAGTTCCATCCACGTAGTTGCAATATAATTGGGAATTTTGATAAGGGAGAAACTTTATGAGACTGAAGATGTTTTGCAATGTACTTCTTTCATTAAGAAAAAGTACACATCAAAATCTGTAAGCTTATCCCATTTTTCATTCTTGATAATGGTTGTGTGTTTTTTTTCCTTTTACAAAGTCTTACCAGAAAGTTTTTTAAAGAACCAATCTTTTTACTTGTTGATCCTCTCCCCTGTACGTGTTATTTACTTCCTTAATTTATATTCTTAGATTCTTTATTTCCTGTCTTCTATCTTTTGGATTAATTTGATATGATGGAGGCTTATTTAGAGCATTGATTTTCCAGAATTGCTTCCTCTGGAAAGCCTTCTTAAACCCCTTAAGTCCTTCTCCAATCAGAAATTGTATCCTCCATGCCTGACTACTTGTTTTTATCTACTAGACTATGGGTTGGTAATCTATACCCATGGGTAGCCTCATATTTTTGTAAATAAAGTTTTATTGGAACATACCCACACTTGTTTTCATATTGTCTAAGGTTGTTTTGTGCTACAAAATGGAAGAGTTGAATAGCACCAGATATTGTATGGTCCCAAGTTCAAATATTTACTGTTTGGATTTAAGAAAGAGTTTGCTGACTACTGTACTAGACTGTAAGCTATGTGTCAGCAAGGACACTTCTTAGCTATGTTTTGTCTCACACCTGACAAGTAGTATGTGAAAAATTAATATTAATCAATGGAGAAAGGGCTGAATTTATCAAAAGTTCCTTGGATTTTTATGGTGCCTTTTTTAAATGTTTATTTATTATTACTTTTTTATTTAAACAAAATTTTTTTTAACGTTTATTTATTTTTGAGACAGAGAGAGACAGAGCATGAATGGGGGAGGGTCAGAGAGAGAGGGAGACACAGAATCTGAAACAGGCTCCAGGCTCTGAGCTGTCACCACAGAGCCCGATGCGGAGCTCGCACTCATGGACCTCAAGATAATGACCTGAGCCGAAGTCGGACGCTTAACCGAGCCACCCAGGCACCTCTAAATGTTTATTTATTTTTGAGAGAGAGAGAGAGAACGAGTGGGTAAGGGGCAGAGAGAGAGGGAGACAGAGGTTATGAAGTGGGCCCTGGGCTGACAGCAGAGAGCCCAATATGAGGCTCAAACTCATGAACTGTGAGATCATGGCCTGAGCCAAAGTTGGATATTCAACCAACCGAGCCACCCAGGCACCTCTTTATGGTGATTTATTCTCAAGATCTAGAAATTGTTTCTAGTAAATCTGTACCCTAAGAATTGTTTTACTAACCTCCACTGCCAACATCTGTTATCTTTTACAGTATTTATGAAAATTAGGTAAATTATATATCAAAAAATGGAAGTTTTATAGAACTCTGTTTCATCATTGACAAATGCATTGGGTTTATAGAGCTCTAATCATATAATAGCCATATTATATTTATATATATTATATATATTACATATACAAT